AGAGAGAGAGAGAGAGAGAGAGAGAGAGAGAGAGAGAGAGAGAGAGAGAGAGAGAGAGAGAGAGATCTGCACTTATAGAGCAACAAGCTACAGCTTCGGAGGCGTGAAGATGCAACGACCTTCTCACTGCCAGGAAGCCTCTACTGTTGAATCCACTGATGAAACGAGCTTCGCACTGATGGAACGAGCTTCCCACTGATGACCACTGATGAAACGAGCTTCCCACGGGATACACTGATGCAATGAGCTTCCCACTGCCCTTCGACTCCCCACGATGCTTTCGAGAATATTGGCAAGTAAAAGAAGGGAAAAAAAAAAAAAGTGAGCGTCATGGTGAATCCCGTCATCTCCATGCACCCCTCTACTCCCTCCACAACAGTGCCGTGCCATTTCCGAATCCATCCCTGCAGCATGCTGCCTGACACCAACACCTCCACTAGGCTGTCTGCTCGTTCATCCCCGCAGCAGCCAATCCTTCAGCTTCATCCCTCCAGCACGAGCCATGCCAAGGGKCTGTCTTGCTCGTAGAGCTGATGGTAGGRAAARAAAAAGAAAAAAGAAAAAATTGTCTTGCATCCACGGTCTGGACAGAGACACATACTCTGCCAGGACACAATCTGCACATGCCAAGGAAAGCAGAGCGATGGCTTATCTGTTTCATCACGCTCTACATGAACGAGTTCCCAAACGCGATGTACATTCCCTATATACCAGTCTGGATACATCTGCATTTTCTGTGAAAGATGAAGAGCACGGACAATGGGAATTCTCATGGCCGCCACCCATCTTGCAAGGCGTGTATAGAGTACTTGGAAATGCGGAGGTATGGGGACGATGAGAGGAGGAATATACATGAATATCACTTCAAGAAGGAAGAGAGAGAAAAAAAAAGGGGCAAGATACAGTTTGCAATTGCACTTAGGGCATCCTACCTGGCCAGAAAGCTGGGTTGTATACATTGCCCGAACTGGAATTGCAAACTGTATCTTGGCCCATTCTGCAATTATAACTCATTTTTGTGACGTCCTCGTAGTTTCCAACAAAAGGAACAAATAGCAGGAACAGAAGAAAGCCATGGCACTGGTGCGGTCAGAAACTGCAGCACATGTTGTCACTGCACCCAGTGCACCATGGCGATGGCGCCCACGTAAGCAGCCGTTTGCAGGAGCAGCTGGCCATGGAGCGTCCGCTGCGCCCCTTTTCGACAGTTCAGACGCGGGCATGGAAAGGCAACCCCATGAATAGTTATCAGTTTTCTTTCCAGATGCATGGCGAGTGTTCGTCTCCCCCGTCTCCAGGCTGTCTCCACAACCGTGGACGCATCCGCAAATGACCGTGGGCAGGTCCGACACGCATCCGAACTTGTTTTGGGATAGATACATCCACTGCGCTGTGGAGTAGAGCACGGAACGCAGAATATGAGTTATGAGTGCATCCGAACTCCGTTTTGGACCAGGTACATCCACAGCGCAGTGGAGTAGAGCACAAGCACGTACTGGTGAGGTAAGGCGCAAAAGTTGCATTCAGGAGGTCGTGGGGTTCAATCCCCAATGACCTCACGTACGTGCCTGGGGAAGCTTGGTGTTCTACACGCTAGAGATAACCCGTTGGCCCCCCAAGCCAGGGGCCAACGCCAGCGTTGGCAAGACGTTGGCTGATGTTGTTGGTTGCTTTGCAGCTCAGTTGGTAGGGCAGAGAAGTTGCATTCACGACGTCGTGGGTTCAATATAACACAAAAAAAAAAAAAACCCAGCCGTGGAGCATGGAATTTTGGCGGGGGCGAGGTCCCACTAGCAAAGAGGATTGGATTCAAACACCTGAATCTGGCTTTATTTTCCGAAACGTGCAGAATGTCGAGATTGAACTGCCTTTCCGCATCTCTGCGTAAAACACGTCCAGATTCAGGATATTTATCCAACCCTCTTTGCTAGTGGGACCTCACCCCGGGTCGACAACAAAAGCGCAGGGAGGCTGTCGAAGGCCTATCGCCCACCCTCCCGCGTGGTATCATTTTTTTTTTTTTTTTTTTTTTTTTTTCTTAACAAGGTTGCAGACTTTCCATTAATAATCAAAGGAGGCCGGGAATCCCTCCACATCTCAACCCGGAGTATCCAGTGTCTCGTTACCCGGTGAAGCTTGTGCTGGAAACCGGGTCCAGCGTCCCTGTGCAAACTTAGCAAGAAAATAGCAATTGGACAAAAACACTATCAAACAGAAATAAAGGAAACAGATTCTATTCCTGTGCTGGACAATTTTTTTTTTTGTTTTGTTTTTCCGCGTGGTATCAGTTCAACTTATTTGGGGTGCACACCAAACAAAAACGAAAAGAGTGCATCTGCCCATGAACGGTGGAAGAGTACACTCGTTACTTACAGCAAACCCACGAACCTGGCCATTTTCTGCAGGAAGATGCACTCGTTTCGTTTTACGTTTCGTGTGCAGTGCGGCTCGTGTGCAGTGCGGAGACGCCCTTGGTTGCCTTCTGGAGCAGGTGCATTCCCAAGTTTCCAGCTACGCCCTTCTGCGAAAGGACAAAAAGGAAAAAAAAAAAAAAGCGAAAAAGAAAAGAACAGACAACCCCCTCGCATTCCCTCCCGCCCTGCTATCTCGTCCGCCCTTCCTCCCAAAGAGGAAACAGTGGACGCGGACCGCAACGGACACGCACGACCTACCCAGCCTACCGGTCTTAGACTTGCGGGCGACCACACCCTTCCACGTGAATTTCGAAAGCCCGAAAAGACCCCGCCAGAGCTTCATTGCGGTCGACGACAACGACAAAAAGACAATGGCACTAAGCGCAGCCTTTTGGCTGCGAACTCAGCTACCTCCTTCGTGCTCGTTATGTTACTTACGTATGAGATCACGCAGTTTTTTCCCATCAGGGCACGCAGTTTTTTCCCATCAGCAATTTTGTTTTTTCCGACGCGCCTTGCATGCTGCCGCAACTTTCGGGGGCTCCTGCAACTTTCGGGGATCGGCTGGCGGTGCCAGCCAAAACTAGGGCCACGTCGGCTCGTCTGTTTTGGCGCGCAGGGCGTCTGGAGCCCTGGGCAAAAGTACCCTTGGCTCTTGGGCTCTTCCCCTGGGCTTTTCGCTTGGCTTTTCCCCCGGCTGCGTACCCGCTCCCCCGCAGTAGCAGTAGTCCGTCACAATTCGATTCGAAAACCCGGCGAAAACCGGCGTAAACCGGCGTATCCAAGGGTATCAGTGGACTGAACGGGAAGTTCAGGGTGGAGGTGGTGATGCACAAAAGCTCGCTTCCGACTTGGCGGGGAAGGCTACTTCAACGAGGCAAGAGGACGGTGACGTTGTTGCTGCGACGCTGACGTGGCAATCAATCAAGGCGGAAGGTGGGCGGACTTGAACGGGCAAAAGTGCGCAGAGCTGCGGACATGCCGTTACCCGGGAGTTTGGCTCAGAAGGTCCATCGGCAAGCCGCAGCCGCTGTAGGGCGTGTTTTGGCGGCAGATGCTTCGAAGCAGAATGGCGCCTCAATCAAGCGGTTGGCCTTGGCGCCATCGAATGTCGCAAAGCGCGCCACATTTGCACTCATTTGCGAAACGTTGAAATGTAAGGCGCCGGTCATTCGTCTTCGTGTGCAGATCCGTCATCCTGTCATGCCTTTTTAGGAAAGTATTTCCCAGATTGTGTCTTCGATCAATCACCATCTCTTCCTGTAATCTTTCCTCAAAAAGAAACAAAAAAATTCGATAAGAAAGATTGCTCATTGTCGTCGGGCAAGAACCCTGTGGTGTGTTAACCACAGGACATCACAGGGCTCGAACTGTTGCACTGGTGGCTGCCTTGGGCTCAAAATTGTTGCCGCTCACAATTAATTGGTGGCTTTGGAAGTGAGCTAGCAAGCTCCCCCCCCTCCCTACTCCTCGTTGCACAAAGACATACAAATACAAGCTCGGAGTCAGAAAAGGAAGGGGGCCGGGGGGGGGGGAGGAGACTGAACAAAACATTCGGCATCGGAGTGTAGGAATGAGGTGCGCAGTACGACGGCAATGTGTGCTTCTGGCCGCTTCGTTCTGCTTCGCCCTTCTCCCAGCCGCCAAAATGAGGCACACATGTACAAGTAAGTCTGCACCACAGCTTATAAGATCTTCAGCACACATGTACAAGTAAGTGTGCAGCTTATAAGATCTAGATGAAGACAGACGATGGAATCAAAATCAAATAGGTCTGTTAGTCACCCGACATCAAAGATAGGGAAATTGCATGGCAGAGCTAAGTGAAAAAGAGCGGGCACAAATCGCGAAATGCTCCAAGACGACTGTACTTGAACAGGATCTGTTCTGTAGGTCGTACACTTTCCTGTATCTACGAATACAGGCGACTCACTCAACCCGGATGATGAGCGGAGACCTCCATTCCTGAGCGCGAATACTGGAAAAAAAAAGAAAAAAAAAAGAAAAAAGAAAAAAAAAGGAAGAAATGCTCCAAGTGTTAGCCCTTCGGTACATCCGTTAAAAGTGGAATGATACAGAGGAGACTTTACCATGGCCCCTGCTTAAGGATGACACGCATGGATTGAGAAATCTTTAGGAAGAAAGGGGAAGAGAGCAGCACAAGGATGACCGGGGTACTGGGATCACACGGTGGACCCTGCAGTCGGATTGAGCGTCATGTCGTCGGTACTGGGCCTGCGCACTGGGCCCTGTAGTGGTCGGAACGGTCCTCAGGTTCCCCCCATCCCCTCCCCCCCTCCTTCCTCTCTGACCGCCCCCTCCCTCCCGCTTCTCCCCTCCTCTTTCCTGTCAGGCCATGGAGAATAATGTCAGATTGGGTTTAGGGTTTAATCTGTTCGTGCGATGGACGAGTATGAGTTTGTTGCAAGGAAGAACCAATGGCTCGGAAAGCTCTGTAATCGTTGGGTATGCACAGATGGCTCTTTAGAAAGAACGTACATCTCAAAACAGATCATGCACCCAGGCGTGTTCACGCCCAGGTGAGTTGTGGCTTAGACATTTGCGAAGTAGATGAAGTTATTTGGGGCAGAAAGAGAAGAGTCGGAAGGAGCGGAAGACCGATCTGGCCCGTGCGGATCAATTGTAAAAACGTGTATTTTAAACCACCAGTACTTCCTAAAGTCGTGCCCGTTAACATTCCACGATTTTAGGAAACGTACGGGACACTACAGGAGCGTCCAAATTCATCCAACTAGAAACGTTTCTACTCTATTTTTTCCCGCGGCCGATAGCTGGGCCAAGTACTGGTGGTTTAACAAACAGATTACGTGCTCGAGTCCTCCTGAGAGCTCAGATGCATACGAAAATGTTACGGGCTACCGCCTTTGGGGAAAAAAAACAACAACAGAAGAGTGGGATCATTTGGGGGAAAAAAAAAACAGAAAAGGAGAAGGAGCGGAAGAGTGGGATCGTTAACATGATTTCGTCAATGGAATACTACTGTAATAGCAAATTGTTGTAGTGGACTAACATTTTTTTTTTTTTCAGGGAGCTTTTGATGATCGATCTCTCAAAGCCAAAGCAATCTAATATACTTGGGAAAAAAAAAGCAAAGGCCGTAGGCTCGCTAGCTAAAGGGAGATTAATCAGTACAATTATACTTAAAATTTCAAGCATCGATTTAATCACTACAATGATACTTAAAATTTCAAGCATGGGTTTAGTTTCTGGCGTTATCCCGCTCTTCCGCTCCCTCTGCTCTTCTTCTCCTCCTCCTCCTCCTCCTGCTGCTGTTTCTGCTGCTGCTGCTGCTGATGTTTTTCTCTTTAGGCTTAGAATACCCTCGTTTTCCCGCCTCCAATTTTTTTTCCATCTATTTTTGATTATCTGCTGCTCGTCCTGTGCTTTCTTTTTTTTTTTTTTTGTGGTCGGCACACCACGGATCGGATATGTTATTATTATTATTATTGAACTTATATATATATAAAAATAACCTTAAAAAAACCTAACCTGCACCCGTCTATCTGTGAAGTAATGGGACTCCTTCTGAAATCAACCATCGCTTCTTCCTCCCCACGGGTAATCGCTGTAATCCCGTCATCAGGGAAGTGTGCGCAGCTCGAGATGAACCGAAGCGCACGTCGCTTGCGTATGAACCGTTAGGGGGCGGGAGGTGATAACGTTTAGTTGCTCGCGTACTCCTAGGAGGAGGTGGTCGGATAGACGATCTCATCGATGTCTAGCGCGCGCCATTTGCAAGTGGTAAAGCGCTTTCCGGATGGAGCAAGTGCTATGATAGCTCTCCCAGTTGGGCGGAGAGGATTGGAATTCTCCGGGCTACCTGGCGGGGTACGCGCTCCACCAGTCCATCCACCCATCCCTGGCCATTGATCTCTCTCTCCCTCTCTCTCTCTCTATCTCTCTATCTATCTATCTATCTATCTTATTTATCTATCTATCTAATCTATCTATGTATCTATCTTATCTATCTATGTATCTATGTATGTATGTATGTATGTATGTATGTATGTATGTATGTATCTATCTATCTATCTTATCCATCGTATGTATCTATCTATCTTATCCATCTTATCCATCTTATCTATCTATCTATCTATCTATCTATCTAGCTATCTATCTATCTATCTATCTGTCTGTGTGTCTATCCATTCATCCATCCATCTATCCATCCATCCATCTGTCCGTCCCTCGCTCGCTCTGTCCATCCATCTAATTGAATGTAATGATTCTAATCTAATCTTAGTCTAGTCTAATCTACTCTATTTTTTTCCCTTTTTTAAAGAATCTAATCTTATGTGATTTATCTAATCTAAGCTCTTTATTTTTATAATCTAATGTAACTAATGTATTGTAATGTAAGGCAATCTAATCTAATCTGATCCATCTATTCCAATGTACTCTAATCTAATCGAGATCTAATCTTGTTTTGTCATAAAGAATGAGCGGGTCTATCGTAGGCAGGAAAATTGGGGGGCAGCTGTCAGCGAATGTGGGCATCACCGTCGAGCGAGTGACATACAAGCGAGAGGAATAAGGCAATCAACTTTTGGCCGGAGAATTCTGAAGTTCTGTTCCTTGGCGGGCAAATCCTCAGTGTGTGTTACTTGTTTTTTTTTTTTTTTGGGGGGGGGAAGGGGGGGGAACGAATTGTGTGAGTTTGTGTGTTCCCTTTTTTTATGAAGTGTTTTTGAACATTGACGAAATTAAGTTATTGTGCCTCATCAGCTTTTGAGCATATTCTTTGTTTTGTTTTTTACCGTTCGTGTTTTGTAATATGATCATGCTGACGCCAATGCAACGAACGTGTTCGTTGCTGCCTGTCCCCTTCCCTCTCCCTCCCTCCCCCACCCTCTCCCATAAATGCAGATCTTGGAGTCATAAAGGAGGTATGGAACTCCTCAGATATCCTGAAGCGCAATAAAAAGGTCAGCGTTTGTTTTGGGGTGAAAAACCCTAAACCCTCCTCCCCTTGCCTCCTCCCTCAGACCAACTTCCATCTTCTCTGACAGCCCTCTCAGTTACTTGGCACCCAGATAGATCACACCTTGATACCAATAGCACGTATGCAGCGCCCTAATGCATTTTGAGTTTATTCATTTTTTTTTTCATTAATTTTTTTTCCCCGTAATTTATTTATTTTTAGTTGTACTGCAGCAGCCTGGTTGGGAATCTGTGCAGATCTTCCAATCGAGAAATCATTAACGTTAGGTTTGTTTTTATTTTTTTTAAAGCATTACACGAGTAAATAAATTCTGTGGTGCGGAGGAAAGTAGATGCATGGCTTTTACTGGTAGTGTCATGGATTTGACTTGCAGATCCCGACAGAGAGACACGGATCAAAAGGAGGAGGAGGGGAATAACTCTAAAGACGCCTGACTTCCTTGAGTTCAAGAGGGTTCTGTACTCTTGATTTGTGTGTGTGTGTGTGTGTGTGTGTGTGTGTGTGTGTGTGTGTGTGTGTCTGAGAGAGAGAGAGAGAGAGAGAGAGAGAGAGAGAGAGAGAGA